TCCCAAACTGGTACAAGTCAGATTGTGATGTATACTTATTATTACTCGTGAGTGTTGCACCATCCCAATCCATTAAACGTTCAGATGCTTCTAATCCATCTGCACTACCATGCTCAAAATCGATAAGAGTATACCTATAATTTCTGATGTTAGGAACAAAGACAATATTTGAAATCCGAATGTCACGATGAACGTAACCATTTTTATGCAACCAAGTTAAGCCGGTAAGCACACTATGTGCCATTTCACGCACTTCGTTTTCACTCCTCAATCGAAAGTCCTGGCCTCGCGTTTCAAATACAACCCTATACACCCCTCGGTTCTTTATCTTTGGTCCTCCGCCTTCCTTTACTTGGATAAGACCTGGATGGTCTTTTGCACAATTGTACATTCTCTGTAAGAAAGCAACACGATCATTCACGTCTCCCTCATGCGGAAGATGTTCTGGCGGGACCATTTTCTCTACTGAGTCCTCAAAGAATGTAATAGTGGATTTTGCCAATTTCAATCGTTTCCCAATGGGAACAATCGTTCTTGGAATTGTATTACTCACAGCCCTTATTATACGTGCAATATTAACAACCATACAAAGGATGGAAACGCGGTCTCGGCTGTTTCGGATATTCAATCGATTTGAAAGTGGAACCAAACGATTCAGCGCATTTGCGTTGGGCGATCCGTTGATTGCATAAAAACCCAAAAGCGGTCCCGCCACAGCGTAACATACCATGAACTGTACGTTTCCAAAATACAAAGGATCAAACTTATTGAATTTCTCTTTAAGTTCATCCACAGCTACTGTAAAATCATCAGCCTCAGCTTTTTCTTCGCCCTTAAATAGAAGTACACCGTTCGCCCAACATAGAAAATCTGGTCTCTTATTGCCTATTGTTGTTGTCCCCTGATCCTTGCTGTTCCGATCCATTTCGATGGGAAGCACCCCTCCACCAAGACTTTCGCGAAATATCTGGAGCGGTACCCTAATCAAACTATTTATTCCCCAGTGCATCATATCTTCTGTGGTATCATCTAAGCTCTGCTTTTCAAATATGTCAGTAAGTAGACAGGAAATGTGTTTTGCTAGTTTACTTCCACATTCCTCGTCACTTGTTTGGATAAATTCAGCGAATTGAGGAAATTTTCTCTCTTCATGGAAAGATACGGGCAATTTTCGGATAAGTGGTGTAACAATAAGAGACGTAAGGTCGTCCGCTTCATTTGGGACGGTATCGAATGGTTGAATAAGAGCATCACAAATCAAGGCAGTCGTATCAATTTGCATCTCATCGTAACTTCGTTTTGATGCTACTTAACAAAAAAGTACAAATAATAAATATTACGAAAAAACTTTGGTAGGTTAATAGCAGGAAACGAACAACACAAGAAGAGAGTATTCCGTATGATTGG